GGCACACGCACACACACAAACACACACACATACACACACACACACACACACACACACACACACACACACACACACACACACACAAACACACACTCACACACACACAACACACAAACACACACACACACACACACACACACACACACACACACACACACACACACACACACACACACACACACACACACACACACACACACACACACACACACACACACACACACAACACACACACACACACACACACACACACACACACACACACACACACACACACACACACACACACACACACACACACACACACCGCGAAAATAGTTAAAACGGATTCAGGGGACCTCAAAACGTAAAAATCCGTCAAAAACTCGAGGTCGAAAAAATCATGATTCCTATACTTTCCTTATATCTTAGTTTTATTGATCAATATCAGTTTATTTGAAAACAATATCATAAATATGATGCAAAACAATACATATTATGTCTTATAAATGAAAAACATGATATTGAATCCCTTAAGGAAATTTTCAAACTTTTACGAAAAATCAGTTGATGTCCGAACATTTTTGTGTTATTGCTCGTAATACTGACGTCCACAATATGAATCACCCTGTTTCTATCTATCTGAATTAGGGTGTGGTTCGAATCCCACTTGTACTGAAGCTCTAGGCTTATTGCACCCCTCGCAGTTTCTCTCTCTTCAGAATAATTTTCTTGATTAATTCAAAAATATCTGATGGGCGCTTTCGCGATTTCTTCAGGTTCCAGATGTTGTACTCTGAAGTGCCATTCTCGTTCCCGTATAAGGTTCCGACAGTGGCATAGTATGTAAATAAAAGTTTCGTCATCCTCTTCACACATTCTAGTTAAGGAGTCATCAAATATCCCTAAGAGATTTAGGTATCTTCCAAGGCCGCAGTGTCCCGTAAAGAGTCCTATTTCGGCATTGAGTTATTGGATAGACTCTCTACTTTCAGGAAGTTCAAACCAGAGCCTATGGTGTTCTTTATTTATTTGTTCCGTTAGCACTTATTTAACATGTAGGTATGAAATACCACATGTGGGTTCTGGTCCAATTAGAGTTTTTTCCACTCCCTTCCTTGCTAGGAGGTATGCTTTCTCGTTTCCAAACACTCCCTCATGTCCCGGCACCCATTCAAAGGTGACTTTGTTATGTTCTGCCAGGGCCTGGAGGGATTGTTGGCAATCAAGTATTAATTTAGATTGTACTTCTACCCTTTTTAGTGCTTTAAGGGGTGTCTGACTGTCTGTCCTAATAAAAACCCTCTTATCTCTAAAAAAGTCATTTAGCATAACTTTGGCGCAGACTGTTTTCAGTGACCCCAGGTTCAGACTAATGATTGTTCCTAAGATCACATGGTAAATCCTAGCTCCTGTGTTGTTTTTTATTTTCGACAGTTCCCATCGGTTTATCCCGTAGAACATCGTTCCGTATATATCTATCAATTAATTTCTCCATTTTTTTTTTAGGAGAAATGTAAAGCTGATTGGTTTGAAAGATTTGGTCTCCGAGTGAGATGCTTTTCCGGGTTTGGGAATGAAGACAACTCTTGCCCACCTCCAGCTTTGTGGCACATATCTAAGGGCCATGCTAGCTCGGAATAGTTTACACAGTGATCCCTCTAGTACTTCCTAGAAGTGCCAGGATTATACCGTCAGGTCCAGCTGTCTTGCATGGTTAAAAGAAATTTATCGCCCACACAAGTTTTGTTCTTTAGTATTAAGTTTACAAGAGATCAGTTTGTTTTAAAGGCCTTAGAAATTAGTGCCTCGATACTCTATTCTCTTGGTCAAAAATAATCTCACATCCTGGAAAGTGTAACTTTAGTAATAAATCTAAATTCTCTGTTCCTGTGAGTTCTCCTTGTTGATTTTTCGGAGATCCCATGCATCCTTGCTTATCTCTCTGTAGAGTCTAGAGTTTAGAACATTTTGGATGGCTTTCAATGCCGTCACATAACTTCTTTCGGTAAATTTTTTGGCTTTCCTAATGGCATAACCAAATTCTCTCTAGTACGCCTTATAGGCTTTGCAGTTCCCCGACATTTTGGAGAGGTTAAAGAGTTTACAAACTTTGCCTCTTTTACTTTACTGATTTTTAATAAAATATCAATATATGTATATATAGTAATATTATTTTTTAACCCTATGTATAATAAAATTAATTATTTCAACATTACATTCAAAATAAAAAAAAAACTCATATATTATTTATTTACCTTCGGCTAGCCTTTATTTAACTCCTCTTGAGGTGAATTTTATTTCCAGAGCATAAGATTCTCTTAATCACAGGTGAGTGCAGGTAAGTTCATTTTAAAATTTCAAATCTTTTTCATACTGGTAATTTTATTATTTTATTTAATTTTACTGTTTCATTTTATTAATTTTATTATTTTAGTTTGTTTTTATTTTTACTTTATTTTTCTTTTATTTTACTTTATTTTTTGGTTATTTATTTTTTAATTTTATTACTTAAAAAGTCACTTCTATGAATGAATTCAAATTGTTGTAAAATTGAATCAATTACTGTCTTTTATGAATTGCCAATAAGTATTAAACAAACAGATTTTTCAAAAAAAAAAAACATGATATTTCTTCTTCTTTATTTTTTTATTGGGCTATGTTCTGAAGAACAATTTAACTCATAAGATTCCAGAAAACTATTCACAAAAGTTAATATTAGTGTTAACCGATGTAAATGGTTTTAACAGGAGTACAACATATATAAGGTATTACAAATTAATTTTAAAAATGTTTAAAAACTTAATTAACAGTTTAAAATTTGATTCGTTGAGGTTATAAAGAATAGTATAAATATTAAAAGGTGCAGGTAAACCAGTTTTAGCCAATTCGCTGTACAAATCAAATTTTGGGGTTTGATTAATCGGACACTCTAAAACAATATGATTAAGGGATCCAACTTGGCCACATTCACAAAATGGATCTTCTTTGACTCCAATTCTAAAGAGGTGGGATGGTGTTAAGCAATGTCTCGTTCTCATTCTAATGATATTAGTTAAATGTCTTCTAGTAATAAATCCAAACTTATTAAACCATGGATACTTTGGTACCTGCGGAACAACTTTGGAGTAAAAAGAATTTTTCTTTTGATTGATAAGTTTAAATTCATCTGACCATTTAGTCCAAATCTGCTGCTTAATAAATGGATGAATATTGAAATATTGCAGTTTGACATTCGCTGGAGTGTTCAGAATTCTACCTATATTGGCAAGTTGGTCAGCTTTTAGATTCCCTAAGACATTAGAGTGTCCAGGTATCCAAGCCAAGATAATTTGAATATCATTCATTTTGGATAGTAAAATACCTCTTTTGGTTACAAATGAAACATGCTTTGTTTCCTTAGAAAATACAGGACGACTTGACTTTTTGCAAAGCACTTTTGGAATCTGATAGTATTATGGCTTGCGAAATGTCTTTTTCCAGAATGACTTGTAAGGCATGATTAATGGCAATCAATTCTGCTGTGCAAATCTAAGTGTACAAGGGTAATTTCGAAGAGAATTAATATTTTAATTCAGGACTAAAAAACCCAAATCCTGCCTTACCTAAGTCATCAACTGATCCATCAGTAAAAAACTTTATATGAAAAGGATATTTATTTGAAATTTTTTGAAGTTGAATAGATCCTAGTTCATCGTTTTTTGTACCAATCAGGTTTTCAACTTTTATCGGGGTCAGCTGATATTTCAATTCAAAATTATAGCATGGGAGTAATTCACTAGTATATAGATCAAAATTCAGTGACTTTAAATAATTATATATATATGAACGATGAAGGGTTTCTCCCTATTTCTTCAATAAGTATTCCTCGGATTACTACATATTAGATTATCTAAAACCGTTATTGCTTCTATAATTGGGTTGTGTTTAATTACTATGTTTTTTAGTAGGAATTTCCATGTAAGCCATTCTCTTCTATACCTTAAAGGAATTTCTCCGCTTTCCGCTAACAATGCCTGAACTGGAGTTGATTTCATGCAACCTGTAATAATCCGTAATCCTTGATATTGTAGTTGGTCAAGCTTCTTACTTATAGTTTTTGTAGTGGAGCTCAAAACTTGACATCCATATTCAAGGTGACTTAAAATAATGGCCTTGTATAATATTCTTAGTGTTTTCGGATCACCTCCCCACCAAGTACCACAAAGAGCTTGCATAACATTTAGGTTTTTACTCAATTTTGTCTCCAAATAATTGATATGAGCAGTCCATTTTAAATTCTTATGGATAAACATACCTAAGTGTTTAGTAGTATCAAACCAATGAATAGTTTGATGGTTAATTAAAATACTGGGAGTAATAAATCTGGTTTGACCTTTAGTAAATAAAATAGCTTTAGATTTATTTGAAGACAATTTAAAATTATGGTTAACAAGCCAATCTTGGAAGACAATAAAAAACTCATTTATACTTATAATTATATGATCTACATTAACTCCAGTAGCTAATAGGACAAGATCATCTGCATACTGAATTAATTTGAATTTTTTAGGAAGGATACTATATAAAGAAACGGTATAAAGATTAAACAAGATATTTAAATTTATTTAACTTATTGACTTTTGTCAAACTACAAAACAAATATCATTAAAAAGTTCTTATTAAAATATACAATCCATATTACCCTATATCAATAAAATTATTTTACCCACTCTGTCATCATTCATAACGCAAACTTATGTAAAAATCGATTTAAATTCGATTTATTTTGCCTTTAAAAAATTATAATTCGATCCTTTTTATAAATTGATTATTAATTCTTCGTTTCTGATTAACATATGACTTATGTGTATTATTTATCAAAATAACTATTGTTAAATTTTAGAAATTACTAAATATGAATTCTTTTTTTTTTTCTAATTATATTAAAGCAAATGTTCTATCAAATATGTACAAATTTTGTGAATATTATTCACAAGTAACATAATTAACTGTTTATTTTGGTTATTAAATGTACTCACAGAGTTCTGTTTATTTCTTCCAGCTCCTGTATCACTTCTAACTTACACGCTTCAGTCCAATAGCAGCTATAGAACGCTGCTATTCCAAATATCAGTCAATTTTTCTTATTTGAAAATCTATTGTCAAATTTTTGACAACCTAGGCCCGTAAATACACTATACAAATTGATTATATAAACCTGCTTACTTAAGTTGAACTTTTATATATCAATTTTATTCTTTTTAGAAGGGAAATTCTCAAAATTTGAATCTCTGGGGCCCTATTCTCGAATGTCTATTTTTAAATGTCACACGCGACATTGATAAAATGTCGATTAAGAGCAAAAAACGTATTCTGGAATTAGTCCATTTAAAATAACTTTAAAAGGTCGAGAAACGCCGCACTTGACGATACCACTTGTCCCCTACGTATTTTGGGGCGCTGATTACGAAAATGAAGGTTCAAACTAGCAGCAATGGTTGGAACACCCCTAAAATTGCAAAAAAAACACCCCTAAATAGGGGTCTGTACTTGTTATTTTGCAAACTAAGACATCTTATATGTCTTTTGGGGCGCTTATTACTAAATTCGGGGTTAAAACTTGCAGCAATGGTTGAACCACCCCTAAAATTTCAAAAAACACCCCTAAATAGGGGTGTTTTTCGACTGTACTTGTTGTTTTGCAAACTAAGCTACCTTATATGGTTTTTGGGGCGCTGATTGCGAAAATCGGGGTTAAAACTTGCAGCAATGGTTGAGCCACCCCTAAAATTGCAAAAAAAACCCTAAATATGAGTGTTTTTCGACTGGTCTTGTTGTTTTGCAAACTAACTCATCTTATATGTTTTTTGGGTCGCTGATTTCAAAAATCGGGGTGTCAAGACTGGAAAATTTGTGTGACTCCCCCCACATGCCAGAAACACCCCTCTCAAGGGGTGAATTTTCGGAAAAAATTACCAGTCACAGTGTTTCGCGAACTAAGTCATGTTATATATTTTTTTGGTGGCTTAGTTTGCAAATAAATTTGCAATTTTAAGGGTGTTCCAACCATTGCTGCTAGTTTTAACCCTCATTTTCGTAATCAGCGCCCCAAAATACGTAGGGCACAAGTGGTCTCGTCAAGTGCGGCGTTTCTCGACCTTTTACCGATATTTTAAATGGACTAAATGGCGAATTCGACATTTGTTGTTAGACATAAAGTCGAGTGATATTCAACCAGTCGACATTGTAATGTCGCATGCCTTTTTAAATATAATGTTATAATTTGAGTGTCGTGACAGTGACAGTTTATATTTATTTTTAAGAGAAATTAAAATAAGTATTGTAAAAATTGTTTTTAAAAATATATGAAATGATTATTTACAATCTCACCTAATTTATCAATTATTAGTCCTGTCCAATATCGAATTGGGCTGTCGCGTCTACCTGCAAAAGACCGGCAGGCCTTCGTTCAAGCTGTGGGTCCTCTTTCAGGCAGTGGGCCCTCGTTCGGGCAGTGGGTCCTCGTTCAGGCGTTGGGTCTCAATCAGTGGGCCTCATTTAGTGGGCATCAGTCTGTGGGCCCTTGAGAATAAGAAATGCGAAATAACCCTTGGAAAAAGCATCAATGTGCAAAGAGGGCCTTTTTTGCTCTTCAAGGAATCGACCTATGAAAAAAAATTGACCAGTAGGCACTGGATGTCCCGATCCGACACTGCTCCTGTTTTTCCAAGAGATTTAATACCTGTCATTAAGAATTATGCAGCTTTATTTTTTTTTAATTGCAGGTAAAAAGATTATATCACAGACATTTTATGTAATGTTTAGATTATATTATAATATATTTCTTCTTACTATTCAATCTCTTACCAAATTGTACTTCCAATTTTCTATTTAATCCCTTATGAAATTTCGGTTAAAAAGATTATATTATATTTTCTCTACTTTCTAATTAATATTTATATGTATTGTAACGGTGTTACTTACCTGTTTAAACAGCCACTCTGTTGTTAGGTGCTGCCACTCTTGTATTGTGGTGTATTATAATTTTATATAATATAAAATTTTTATATTTTATAAAAATTTGTCAATTAAATGCAATTTAATCAAAGATGTGTTTTACATTTTTAATAAATTTTAGTTGTTAGCAATGAGACTCTTATTTATTTAAATTTTGTAACTATTTTCCTAATTTAGTTAATCTCAGGGAATGTTTTAGTCTAATTGGGTTCATTACTTTTTCACTGGTTTTCGTATTATGAATTTAAAAGAGTGCAGTGTATTTATCTTATGCGATTTCAGGGTAGCCAACCAGTCAAACGAAAATAAACCAACGAAGAATTAATTGGAATTCAAAAAATAACATTTATTTCTGGACATCAATACATCAAAATCTTAAAATTCTATAATAAAACATTCATTCTTCTTCACACACACACCTTATGGACAGTGGCAACGACTTAAATAACCCACCTTCTCTGACTAATTTTTTTTTATTATACGTTGGCATTGCCGTTGCAGTTATATCTTGTTGAATATGTTTTGAATTTTAAAAGGTAATTTATAGGTTATGTTTATTATGGAAGAGAAGATGTGTATTTTTAAAACATTAAATGGAATCAGATCAATATTAAAAACAAATAAAATGGTAAGTTATAGTTCATATAAAAATGTTGTACCTTTACAACTATATCAGGGTTCATAAATTGTGTCCTACTTGCCTCGTTGTCTTTTCACAGGGGAGGTGTGGATCAGGAAGATTGAAAATCCAGATGAATCTTAAAAAACCATGTATCAATCAATATCTTGTGAATTCAAGGACAAAAGGCAGAAGCCTTTTATAATACTTTTACATCCAAAATGTATGATCACTTTTCACTATTGTAAACAATATATGAGTAGAAACGTATTGTACCATTTACACCAGTAAGTACATATTACTAATTTTACAACAAATTATAGCTACTATATTTGGTATACTTTCTTATTTCAATTTTTGGAATGATAAAGAAACTACGTCTCTTCCATTTTAAAATTCTACCAAGACTCCCCTCCCCGATTTTTATTTGTTAAATCAGCAACTTTTTACATTTTGATGGCATCTATAGAGTTCAAATTTCTTGTGCCCATTAAAAAGAAACTGGATTTAGTTACTTTTGAAATTAAGGTATTTCTATAAATTAAAGGTGAGTTTATTAAAACTGAATTTTACTATGGCTTAAGGCCGATCTCACAGCACGATCTATAAAACGCGGAAAAATAAAACAACCAATTCAATCAGTAGTACGTTTCGTATAATTACAGACTAAACCGTTAGAACAACGTACGTTAGCCCGTATGATCATACACGCTGCATATTTAAGAAATTAACAATTAAATTCAAGGGTATTCGCGATTCAAGCTAAGTGATACGCCCTCTGGAGGAAATTAGTAGAAGGTCCCTATAAGTAGGATGACGTTCAGTGTTGCCAGATGCAGCACAATTTCGTTAGCGTCGTCAGATTTTAGTTCTTGAAGAAATTGATAAGACCTTTTATTTAAAAATCAAAATTTGTGTCTAGTAATATGTAATCATACTTTTATTTAAGGATTTTTTTATAAAATCGATTTATTATATTGATTTTTTTTTAAATTTCAGTTCATTTATTTTTAGTTTTAAAATCAGTCAGAGACAAAATCAGTTCATCATTTGGCAACATCGGCGTTCGTGTTCATTGTTTACATTTTAATTTGTATCAATTACAATTTAGAGTTTTTTGTTACTTTTTAGCTTTAAATTTGTTTATTTCTTATAGTATGTGATAGTATTTAAATTAAAAATGAAATCTGCGAAAAAGCCTCCAGCAAATTGCAATCTATATGGGGGTCAATTCTCGACTTGTAGGAACCTTTTCCTATAGGAATTTGTGACACTTTCCTATATGTAGGAAAATGTCATAAATTTTCGATGTATGTAAAAATGTCAAAAATTCCTATAGGAAAATATTCCTACGAGTCGAGAATCGACCCCCTGGTGTTAATGTCAAAATCAAAACTGAAGTATTCATTATTTTTCAAGTACAAGTCATAAAATTTTGTTTCTTACGATAAATGGGTATCTACAAATTCACAATATTGAAATTTTGCAAAAAGTTGTTCAGAATCAAACTCCAATATTAGTTGTGACGGTTTTATTACCATTTACATGTATACAAAGTACTACACAATTCACTTCATGATATAAGAATAAGGATAGTAAGATTTTTAAAGAAGTTCATCAATAATAAACGTTTGGTACCTGATATGTCCTTTAAACCACATAATAAAACATGTCCTGGGTTTAGTAAATACATATTTCTAGATATTCTTGAAGCAACCAATAGGTCAATATTTCCAACAAATTAGTTCATACTACACATGAAAAATATTACATTTATGACGAAAGCACGAAAACTAAACTTAAATTAACACTAAATGAAACTCAAAAACACTATTATAATAAGATTATTATCTAAAAACAGTTAAAAAATCACAAATACAAAATCCCACAACACGCAAATAAACAAACATCCTACTTATACGTGACAAATGACAGGCGCGCGAAAATTAATTTGAATTGCGAATACCAGCGATTTGGGTTTTAGCCAAACTACGGCACAAGCGAGTGTTGTTACACCAAAAGAAAAGAATATAGTAATTAACTAGATCAAAAATGTTTATATAACCACACCAATGTAAAAAAATATATAAAAAATGTTAGTAAGAATCGTAACTAAAAAAAAAACTATAAGCTATTGGCGATTCAAATTAATTTTCGCGCGCCTGTCATTTGTCATCTATAAGTAGGATGTTTGTTTATTTACATGTTTTTGTTTTGGGCGGATTTTATATTTGTGATTTTTTTAATTGTTTTTAGATAATATTTTCATTGTAATAGTGTTTTTGAGTTTCATTTAGTGTTAATTTAAGTTTAAGTCTCGTGCTTTCGTAATAAATATAATATTTATCATGTGTATGACTTAATTTGTTGAAAATATTCACCTACCTATTGGTTGCTATAAGAACATCTAGAAATATGTATTCACTAAACCCAGGACATGTTTTATGTGGTTTAAAGGACATTTCAGGTACCACACGTTTATTATGGATGAACTTATT